AGCACAACCGTAGTTATTATTTTATTTAAGAATGGCAAGATTTGATTATTACTTATTCTCAGTACTCACTGACTTTACGTCATTGTTAATACAATTTTTTTTTTTAATGAATTGTATTTTTTGACATTTTTAATCGCACGTGCCTCAATAACACATTATTAATATTTGAAAAGATGATAAATTAAATAGTTAACCAACGAATAAATATTATAACAGTGCTAAATWTTWTTACCATGTTTTAATTCTTTTTAACTAATGGTAATAATATAGCTAAACTTTGTAATACTTATATATATAACTATAAGTTATAATAATTCGTTGTAGTTTTGTAGTTGGTCTAACCAATTAAATTATAGTAACACATTAAACCTATTTTGGTGTTTTCAATTGAAATATACTAATAACTAGGTATATCTTTATAAATATGTGAACCAAATGAATTCCAACACTTTAGTGTAATAATAGTAAAGGTAACGATATACCGTATATCGTATAAATTATACAATTAAATAACTATTTAATGAAATCGAAAAACAATTTGGAATTTTTTTGATTGAAAACCAATTTTGATTAGTTTATATCCGGTCTATGCCTTTAATATATTTGTATTGGAATAGGAAGTATGAAGGTTTCCCCTTTAAAATTAGAAGATGAAACGGATTCTTCGGTTAGCTGTATAGGATCTTACTAAAAGAGAACGAGTTTTTAATTTAAATGAAAACTTCTTTCGATAAAACATTTTGTACATATCTTCTCGCAACAAAAAATACGGGGTCGGTCCGCATATTTTACGAGTTCGTCAATTATTTAATGCCCATCCGAGAACATTCAGTTTCTGTTCTTTGAAAAATCTGATACATCTTTCGGCCAATCATTTATTCATATACGCTGTTTTTTTCTTATTTTTTCCCTTACCTACTCACCAACAACACCCTCGTGTGCATCTCTTATTTTTTGGAATGGCGTGCGTCATAAAAATATACCCTAAATTTAAGTAGTAAAAACATATCGCAATATTGTAAATCTCCCTTCCTCTTATATAGCTGCGTTTACAATCGAAATAGCCCCCCTTTGCTCACCGATGATATTATCTGGACTGGAATATTATATAATATTGTCTACAAAACAGCAAGTTTTAGTCAAGCACAACAAGAGTTCACAGGTGAATTACGATCGTAGAGAATAGAGGTATATCAAATGTATTTATTTTATGGGAAAACAAAAATCGACATGCAGAAAACCAACGACAAAACTGACGGTAAATAAAAGGAATATTATTATCATTTATCTTATATTCTTACCAAACTGTGTGCAACTTTATCTAAGGTAAAATTTAAAATTTATGCCACAGTTAAAAATATATATAATTAACAGATTTTTTTTTTAATTGATAAAGCTATTTAAGTAATACTATATGGGACAACATCGGGTTTCAATTATAGCTTTSAGTACCTATCGAAATTACTGATCATCTTGAAATGAATATTATAATATTATAGTATAATATTAAATATTCATATTATACTAAAGTCATTGTTAATTTGTAGATATATTTCGTAACATATCCGTATATAGATCTTCAATAGATAATAAACTTTCTAAAATATTAGAACTATTCGTCCTCCCATTTATAAAACCTATAAGTATCCAACAAAAATATTTATAAAAATTGTAACATTGTATAGCTACATGTTAGTACACGATATTTGTGTTAGTCGGACATTAATATCTTAATGACACACATATAAAAATCCAATTTCGGAAAAGTTGGCTCTAAAAATTGTACATATATTATTTAGGACCCTGAACATACCTAAAGTATTATAAT